CTTACATATTCACTCAGTGCTCGCTTCGATCATTCATGTGGTCAAGGTTCAACACTTTTGTGATCTATCGCAACTTTTGGATTCTACTATCCATACACTCTCTTCAAATCTAGGCAGACCGGTCATAAAATGTCACCGAGTCTCGAGTAGTAATGTTTCGCCCTCGACCATGCATGTATTATCTCTGCCCCAACATCTCAATGATGCGACGTACGAGATAAATGACACTAGACTATTCTTTTTTCATTTTTTTTCATAGAATTAATTCCCCCCCCTTTTGTTCCTATTCCGGATTGCCTCCACCACGAGGAGTCAACTAAAGATTGGCAATGAGCGGTTCACAATTACCCAACTTAGGTGGCATTTCTGTTTGACAGGTTCTTTCTTTCAACCTTGAAAATTAAGCAAGAGACGACTCGAATAGGTATAGTACTTGCTGTGTTAGCCCCAATCTCCATATCTAATTAGCACCATACTCAATTACAACAATGACTTAGCCTAGTCCTAGGACGGTATGTTTTGTTACTCACATGCAGCTCCCAGGAACTAAGAAGAGTCATATAGGAAATAAATCCTCAGTCGTTCTCCAGTAAACCTCCACATCATAGGAGGGTCCGTGTGGTATGGCGTTGTTGTGTCGGACAAAATGAATGCGGTATGGCATATACCACTTGCCTAACTTTATGCTGTCCTCCAATCTACTTCTGGTTCGGCTCCGTCAGTGTCCTCAAAAATAAATCTCAAGGCATTCAAACACGGCTTGGAGAGCTTTGCCCGATGAAGTAGAAATGTGAAATGCCAAAGAGCGTCTCGGGAGCGGATGTCACGTTCCTGGGTAGTAAGAACTTCAAGAGGTCCTCATCAGAAATGATTGAGGCGGGCCCATAGTATTGCCAGTCGGACATCCAGTCCTTTCTCCATATGTCTAGATGCCACTACGTCAATTCCTCGAGGATGGCCTGCCTTTGAGAACCGTTGCTAGTTCCATGCGCAGCTAGTGATGATAGTGAGCTGCGATGCCAGATTAGAGGAAGAATTTGCTTCTGTCCCTATGGAGCCCGAGGATTCCTTGTAAATAGCGCAGAAGCTCAGGTTAGACATGAAATTGGGCGATAACTGAGGTTTGCCGAGATAAAACAAACGGTACAAGTGAACGGTGAGCTCAAGGGGATTCTGTATACGACATAGTTTACGCGCCCCGAGCGGTTACGGGAAGGCGCGTACCCAAAACTATAAGCATATGCAAAACTAAATACGGAAATGAAATAAAGTGACCGTAACCAGGAGGTCGTATAGAGCCAATTCTAACATTCCCAATTTCACCAATTTGGTTCAGAATAAGGGAAGTAATAGCAGCGATAAGACAAGTTTGCTGTGGAGAGATTAGGCACAAGAAATATAAAGTGACGTTCGAGTTCTTGCAAGGAGTGAAGCAAAGTTCGCTAATGGCCGGGCCGAAAGTGTCCGCAGATGAGCGGAGCCGTGACCCGTCATCATGTACGACGCCAACCGCGACTGTCGACTTGCTTGACCTCTCACTGCTCCTCATATATCTCAAATACCTTGCTATTTTCTAACTGGAATATCTGGCTGACCTCTCTGCATATTCATACCCTCTGGCGATACAAAATCTACTGCAGCTGCATGTCTAGCTTTCAGCGGTCTCCAGGGCATCCATCCGTTCCCTTAACGTACTCAATCTCGAAGGCAACTAAGCATAGTGGACAGTATGTTCCGGACAATATCCTCTTAGACAACTCAAAGGATGCTTCAAGTCGATGGAGCGGTGTAGGCAACGGGACGGAGCAGTGGATTCTCTTGCGGTTAGAGGCAGCGTCCGTTCTTAGTTGCGTTCCTTCATCATATCCTATCCGCCGCTCTGAGGACTAACTCGATATGCTCCAGAGAGCGTCACATTTGGAAAAGTGAGTCGCATGCTGCATACTCATCCACGTACTGAACAAGTATGCCCAGCTGTTCAAAGGTATGAACCACAGCTACTTACAAACGCACGATCTAACCCGTCCAAAGCCCACCCATGCAATATGAAGGACTTCAAACTCCTCATTGGTCCCTCTGAGGACAAGCTTACTGAGATCCTCAGCGCCAGCCTGAAGAACGACACAACTCCAGAAACGTTCGCGCTCAAGCACACTAATAGTGTCGGAATACCATTTCCAACGCAGTATGTGAAGATCATCCCTATCTCGTAAGGCTCGTTTTCTATCCGGAATCTTCCTATCACATATTGACAGTGGCTGCTGTACTACCACATATCAGCTCACACGGGCCGAATTTCCATATCTCAATATGGCACGTTTCGATGACTGGAATTAACGACCCAGCGTACGTCGCGAAAGCACAGATGGCCTATGAAGAAGTAGGTTAATATTTTGGCCTCTCAGACTCAAATTAACATAGTATACAGTACCGAGAAACTACAGCACTCAAGCAAATTCTAAAGCACCTTCGTCAAAGGCGACTTCTCTCTCCTTTCCAATCCATCATCTCCCGCACGCATCTCCGCCTGGAACACCCGCTCGTAACCCAACTACACGAAAACCTCGTCTTACGGGGTAATTGGACACGTGCTGAAGAGCTCCTCAGCACCTTCTCGGACTATGAACTATTCAATGCCCATCTCACTTCGTGCCAACCACACGCCGCCTGGACACGCCTACACGGAACTGACGCCGATGGTGACATACCTTGTGCGCGAGGCGGGCACGCAATGTGTATCGACCCTATAAACGAAATGATATATCTCTTCGGTGGCTGGGATGGCGAGCATAGCTTGGACGATTTCTGGATGTACAGCATCAAAGAAGACAAGTGGCACATGCTCAGTCTGAGTACGAGCAAAGAAAACAATGCACCTGGTGCAAGGTCATGCCATAAGATGGTGTTTGACACGAAGACGGGGAGTATATATCTGCTGGGTAGGCTGAATGACTCGGATGGAGTTACTTCTGCTACTGCGACTCCAAGGACGGGCACTGCGGCCATCAGGCAGCAAAGAGCGCAAAGTGGACCTGCAGCTACCGATGATGCAGTTGTCAATGCTTCAAAGACATATTGCTCGGAGTTTTATCGATATCATACGAAAGGTGTGGACAAAGGAAAATGGGATTTCTTGTCATTCGACACTGCTGTACGTTCACTTTCCGTTGTCGTAATCCTTTGCTTAAAATATTTATGTGCAGTCCTCAGGCGGACCTTCACTAGTATTTGACCACCAAATGGTTATTGACTGCGACGCCCAGATACTCTATGTGTTTGGAGGCAGGGTCGTAGATGGTGACTGGGACTCACATAAGTACTCGGGCTTATACAGTTACAACATTCGTCTAAGCAAATGGAGACTCCTTCAGTGCGTATATTTCGTTCTCGTTACTATTACTCACACTCAATACATATTACAGACCCTCCGAAACATCTAGTGGCTTGCAAGTGATTTTACCATCTCGTTTTGGACATTCCATGGTCCTTGAGCCCAATACCAAAACCCTCTTTATATTTGCTGGTCAACGAGAAGAGAAATACCTCTCCGACATGTATGCATATGATATCACTACAAACAATGTTACAGAACTGTTCTCTGATTTTACGAAAGCCGGAGGGCCAGATGCGTGTTTCACGCAAAGAGCGGTCATTGATCCCAACCTGAAAGAGATGTATATGTAAGTGCATTGCTTTATTAAGAAGAGTATTTACCGACTCTGGAATCAAGTTTTAGCGGACTCAATCGTACAGGATCCCAGAACGTCCTACGTTCCTACTCCTCAAGTTGGGTATACCGATATGATACGCGTCCCGGAAAGTGGACGCAAATCCTACGCGAGCCTGATCGTGTCTGCACCAATAAACAGGCAGCAGCTAGCATTGCTACTCCAGCAGCGCCTGCTCCGCGGTATGCGCATCAGGTCGTGTATAGCCCAAATACACGAATGATCTACATGCATGGCGGGAACTCAGGGGGTGTGAGTCTGTTTGAAGGGACTGCCATTGCTGGAGGGGATGGTGATGATGCACTGATTGAGGAGAAGGAGGGGGTCGATGGGAGGGAGACGAGGATGGATGATTTCTGGAGGATGGAGCTTCGAAGGTGGGCTGTAGGTATACTCTTGTGGATGATAGTTTTAACGTGTTATCTATAGGCCTGGTCCGGAGGAGATAATTCGAAGAGGAAAATCTCATATTCGGCGACAGCAGTGCGTACTTGGAGTACTCTTTCTTCACCACCAAGACTGATCATGATAATATTGCTATTCATTTCGTGTCATAGATTCCGTGAGATGTGCGAAGATGGTCCAGCTGTCAAAGCGTTGCACTTCCTCCAAACTGAAGTCTCAAGTGTAGTTGACCATGATGATGCAAGGGAAGAGGAGAATTTCCGGTCCCTACTTACACATCTACTTAGCGGCCCTTCTGAACCACATCCCCCAACCTCGGCGGCATCGTCATCTTCATCTGCTGCAATAACCATACCAATAGCACCCCAGCCTCCTGCCGAAACCATCTCCGACCCCACCACCTCCTCAACCTCCACAGCTACTTCCAACGATGCAGACGATGATAGCGAAAGGCCCGTTAAGCGTTCACGTACCGAGACGCCTGACTCGGATATGGGGTCATGGACTAATCATATAGACGACGACGATACGTCTGGCCCAAATACACCCATAGCTGTTACTGGTGTAACATGCGCGGGCCTTCGGGAGTCTGTTGATCCGATAGAGCTTCAAACGGGCGGGAAGCAGGCGCTTTCTGGTGCGAGATATGCTCAGCGGACGGCAGTGTTCGACGGGTTGTTGGAGTTTCTCTCGGAAGCAGATAAGGAGCCTGTGGATGATTTTGTAGGATTAATTGATCAGGAGTGGGGTACGGCGGGGGTTGATTGAAATGCTACGGTGTCTACACTTGTATTATCATCCATGCAATGATCTGCTGGTGCTGTTGGAGGTCTTGTGTAGGATAGCAAATGGTAACAGCACTCATAAGGGTCGATGGCGTAGCTGGTTATCACATCTATCTAACATTTTTTGTTCACAGAAGGTCCTCAGTTCGTACTTGGGTTGATTCACTTTTTGAAGATTTTCAGCAAAGATGTATAATATATTCGTAGTACTTTCGCTCATTCGATAAATTTTGCGAATGTCTGATCTGATCTTCACGAACTTTTTTGACAGTAGTGGCACCATAGAAGCCATCGGAGAATTTGTACAGCAGCACTTGAAGCTCCACGGACGGCCACGGACCACGGTGAAGAATGTATAGAGGACAAACCTTTCTTCCTGACAATCTGAACTGGAAAGAAGTATATATTCCAATCTATAGCATCTTTAAAGATCTTCCACATGTGTCACTTCGACCTGTTGAGGAGCGCTTTTTATGAAGTCAATATCGGCATAGCTCAATTGTGTGACCTTCCACAACTTCTGAAAGGAACGATGGTTTGACTGAAGTATAATAGACGCTCCCGACACGCAAGAACGTTCCGATGCTTGCAGATTAGTGAAGGTGCCTGATGGCCGGCTGCCCGATATTTGCACTAAATCGACTGCGATTACAAGACTCCACATTTATGCAAGGATAGGCCGATAAAGCACCAATTAGAAAAAGGATGAAGCGTACAGTATCAACAGAGTACTACTGCTCCACAAACGGCTTATCTTCGAGGAGTTAAGATCTTCCTGCAGTTCAGCCATAGTGTTCAATCGAATAGAGGAGTTGAGTAGTCTTCTGAGGCTCAATGTTCACGATATCCGCGGAAGACAGACTTGGAGCGATGGCATAGCTAAATAATCCATAGGGGGGGATAAATGCAACGACAAAGGCGTTAAAGTACGAGACAGTGAGTGATCGACGACAACATAGGGGTGGGAGACTTGGTGGTCGTTAGCTGAGCCTGGCGGCGTGGGCGTCGCGACGCGCTCTCATGGCCACGTGATACGGAAGCGCGGGTTTCATTGAGACGCTTTATCGTTGCAACTTCCACCTTGTGCTTCTTTGACCTGACACCGCTCAACCTCCAGCGGAATGGAACGGCGCCAAGATTTTGCGAGTTGAATGGTACTGAGCTCCTCTGGGATCACATCGCGTGAGATGGGTGAGAGCTCCATATCCAAAATTCGTTGTTAATGGCGCGCTAAACCACCTTTAACCCATCCTTCAACGCCAGAATAGTGGTAGTATGTGCCCAACAGTAGACTTCAGACAGCCATGGGACTTCCGAGCCTACTGACGCCATTAATGAAGATAAGCACGAGACATTTAATGGAAAGCAGATAGTACGGTGTCGTCGGGGGGCTTCTGAACCATGTGGAGAGCTGGGGAAAGAATCCGAGCAGACCACGCCATCAGGAACGCATAAGAAGCAACAAATGTGATTCTCAGCGCGAACCTCGTTGCGCATCAGCTTAGATAGGCATTTTCTGCGCTATACGCTGTCATTATAGTGTCGCCGTCCCGGATATTGATGAGTCCGTATTCTTGTTCTGGCTTGATGCGCATGCTACGATGCGCCTTGCAACGGAATGCAACACGAATCTCATCTCGTCCGAGGGGTGCTTCCAGCTTTTCATGATCTTCCGATCAAGCACAAAGCCATTTTACTCTGACTCTTGCCGGCAACCTGCCCACCCGGGATATCGCAATCGTAGCGTCCATGGGGCTTCCACTCGCATGACCACATGCACCCATTTCAATGTCTGTCAAATATATAATCTCGACTTCTCCTGCGTGAGCAAGACTATTCTCCTTCACCTCTCCTTCCTTGGGTCACCATGAAGACAGCCATGTTCTTCGCACTCCTTCCGACGTTGCTGTGCGCGAGCTCAGCCTTCGCCGTCGTTCCTTTGTCAAGTGTGAAGAGGGAATCCAACCTCCCGACTGTCTCTAACAAGTTCATCGTTGAGGTGGACACCTTGGCCGATATTCCCACCAAGCGTTCGCTGGAGACTGTAAGTTTATGTAGCGTTTACTTCAACACTGCAACTAACACTAATCCAGTCCCATGAATTCCTCTATCGGTCACTCAGGGAACGTGCTGTTGTATTCGAGGTGGACAAGGAGTTCAACTCGGCAGGGCTTTTCGTCGGCGCAGCTTTAACTCTCAACAGTGCAAATGTAAGCCTACCAATTACATGGAGGGATCTGCGCCACGTATTGACTCATCCGAAAGGACGCTGCTGCCCTCCAAAATACACCTGGAGTAAAAGCCATTCGCCCAGTCCGGAAGTTCGATCGTCCTAAGTAAGTCCTACTCCGTCTAATGATCGCTTATCTTACGATTAACCACACGTTATAGGCCAGTTTTAACCCACGTTGTGTCAGGTGTGAACGACCCCGCCCTCCCGCCTGACTCGGAGTCCACCCATATCATGACTGTCAGTATTTCCCCATACCATATTTATCTCTTCGGAACGGGAGCTAATTATATCACAGGGTGTAGACAAGCTACACGCCCAGGGCATTAAGGGAAAAGGTATCAAGATCGGAATGTAAGCCTCATTAACTCCATTGTAGGCTCGTGTATACTTACTTCTTGTCCTAACAGCCTTGATACAGGTTCGGAACGATATTTCTTAATACAACTCGACGACTGCAGCTTAACGTATTGTTGTAACAGGTATCGATTACACTCATCCCTCACTTGGAGGGGCATTCGGACCCGGACACAAGGTTATCGGTGGATTCGATCTTGTTGGAGACAACTACACTGGTGCGTTCCTCCATTTCTTAGCGCGTTCTCGTTCCGCTGATATTTACATGCGACTTATTGTACAGGCTCCAACACCCCCGTCCCCGATGCGGATCCTCTAGACCAATGCGCAGGTGAGTTTTGCACGTAGGCCATATGCTACATTGTATACTTAAGCTCGACAATAGGTCATGGTACTCATGTGGCGGTAAGCTTCAAATGCATCATCATCCCTCCGAGCTGTGGCTCATCCAGCTCCTTTTTTTGTCTAGGGTATCATTGGTGCCGATCCTGGAAATGATTTTGGCATCAGCGGTGTTTCTTACGAGGCTTCTATCAATGCATACAGGATTTTCGGCTGCACAGGTTTCGTCACTGACGATGGTGAGCTGTCTCTTCCATTGCGAGAAGTGAAGATTTCATTAATATAACTTATTATCTTAGTCATTGTCGAAGCTCTGCTCCTCGGTAACAAGGATGGTAACGACATCATGACCCTCTCGCTCGGTGGCGCCGATGGATGGACTGAGTCGTCCAGTTCCGTCGTTGCAAGCAGGCTCGCCGCAGCTGGCAAGATCCTGACCATTGCTGCTGGAAATGACGGTGCTTCTGGTTCGTGGTACACTTCCAGCCCTGGAAATGGTATCGACGTCATCTCTGTCGCCAGTGTCGATAAGTACGTATCTTTCGTATTCATTTATTTGGTGGTGCGATATCTTATTATCACATATAGCACTGTCATTCCCCTCCAGAATGCGACCGTCCATGGTGTTCAGCACGATCCCATCACCTACTTCGCTACCTTCCCCTTCCCTGTGACGACTGAGCTCCCTGTCTTCGCCACGTCCAACGACACCACTGTCGCTGATGATGCGTGCAATGTTCTCCCACCCAGCATCCCCGACCTTTCCAACAAGTTGGTCCTGATTCGTCGCGGTGGATGCACTTTTGTAAGAAACTGAACTCCCTAAACTTGAATTGCAGTACTAATGAGTTGTTTGTAGGTCCAGAAGTTGACTAACGCCGCTGCTAAGGGCGCAAAGGTCGCATTGATTTACGAGTATGTTATTCTATTGTCTAAATAGGCTCCGTACTAACAGCACTTCTATAGTAATGGAAGTGGTTTTGCTGGTATCTCCGTTGGCGACTTCTTGGCTACCCTCATCCAAGCTGCAGATGGTGAATTCGTGAGTATCAATTCCTTTTGTGCTATAGTACATTTTCTCACAACATGTTTCGTAGCTTGTCCAACAATTCGCTGCTGGCGTCCCCGTCTCTCTTTCTTTCCCTCAAACCGGTGGCTCTACCAACTTCCCTGATCCCGAGGGAGGTCTTGTCTCCTCCTTTACTAGCTATGGCCCTTCGAACGACTTCTTCTTCAAGCCCGCCGTCGCTGCTCCCGGGGGCAACATCCTCTCCACTCTCCCCGTCCCCCTTGGTTCTTTCGGTGTCCTCTCGGGAACATCCATGGCTACTCCCTTCGTTGCTGGTAGTTCTGCTCTCCTCCTGTCCGTTAAGGGTAAATCAGTAGCCGTCGCTCGTGGTGCTCGCACTCTCTTCGAAACCACCGCTCAACGTATCCCATCCAGCCACACTGATGGTGACCCACTCCAGACTGTCACTCAGCAAGGTGCTGGGTTGATCAATGTCTTCGATGCTATCCACACTACCACGATCGTTTCCCCTGGAGAGCTCATTCTCAATGATACTGCCCATGCGCGTCCTCTGTGAGTATTTATTGTTTTATACTTCGTAGCATAATATAATCTTACTTCATCCTCAGCCAAACATTCACTGTCAAGAACACAGGCTCTACAGCCAAGAAATACACACTCACCCACGTACCCGCTGGTACCGCTCTCACTGTCGACGCTGGAACCATCTTCCCCGCCCTCGGTCCCGTTCCCCTCGTCGCTACTGCCGCCTCGGTTTCGATAGTCCCCAAGACCTTCACTGTCCGCCCTGGTCAATCGCAAGCCGTCGTTGCCGTCTTCTCTCCCCCTAAGGGTCTCGACAAGACCACCTTCCCTACATATTCTGGCTTCATCCAGATCGAGAGCGGTGCCGACAAGACTCACGTCACTTATCTCGGACTTGCTGCCTCGTTGAAGGACAAGCAGGTCGTTGATAACACTGACGAATTCTTCGGCGAGGTCATTCCTGCCATTCTTGATCCGGCTGGGGATGTCCAAGCTGGTCCGGCCAACTACACCTTCGTTGGTGAAGACGTTCCTACTCTTTTGTTCCGGTATGTTTCGTTCCATCTAGAGTGCATTTAATAGCCGTTAACTTCCTTCTCTTAGTCTCGCCTTCGGCACACCCACTCTCCGTGTTGACCTCGTCGATGCTAGCATCAAATTCACGCCCACCCTTAATAGCCG